AGGCAAATTTTTATACAATGTCACCCTAAAGTTTTAACATACTAATAATCCACAAAATTGTGTTTTCAAAAGTAACTCAGCTTTCATATAAAAAAAAAAACATACACTTCAAAACAATTTACTTACTCTTTACTAAGCAATTTATCAAAAATAAAATATAAACTGTCTTGTCACTCTTTGGAAGTTTCTCAGTTTTTAGTCCCTTAGTGGCAGTCATCTTAAGTGAGGATTATTTTGTCCACCCCAAAAACATCTAGCAATATCTAGAGCCACCTTTGTCACAGTTTGAAGTGGGAAAGGAAGAGGTTCTACAAGCATCTAGTATGGTGAGGCCAGGGATGCCAAGCATCTTTAATCCACAGGATAGCTCCCTCCACCAAGACTCAAATGTCAAAAATACAGAGGCTGAGAACATCTGCCTTAGAGTCTTCAATCTAACAACTCAGAAATAGAACTGGGCAGAACCTGGCAGGTTGTGACAAGGAAAGAGAAAACATAGTGATCTGTCTTCAATGTCCTGGATTCTTCCTTTTTTCCCTTTCCTTGGTACCTTCCACTCCTTGCCCTCTGTCCTGTGTTCTCTCCCCAAAATAAAATGTACTCTCAGGACAAAGTTTGATAAACTTGTATAAAAAAAGTGACTGCACAAGATTAAAGAAAAAAAAAAATCAGGAGCAAAACATTAGCCCAAAGGTAGAAATTTGGATATTAGTGATCTCAACAGGAGTTTGGGGGGCTTCCCACGTGGCATGAGTGATAAAAAACACCCCACAACCACCTGGCCAATGAAAGAGACATAAGAGATGCAAGTTCCATCCCTGGGTAGGGAAGATCCCCTGGAGGAGGGCATGGCAACCCACTCCAGTACTCTTGCCTGGAGAATCTCATGGACAGAGGAACATGGTGGGCTATAGTACATAGTGTCGCAAAGAGTCAAACACCACTGAAGCAACTTCCAGGCAAGAATACTGGAGTGGGTTGCCATGCCCTCCTCCAGGGTGTCTTTCTGACCCATGGATTGAATCTGTATCCCTTACATCTTCTGCAGGCAGGTTCATTACCAATAGTGCCAGCATAGGAGCTTATATTTTGAGGATATGGATCTCCTAAGCATAGCCAGACACAGACAAAGGGACTAATCCATTTTATAAAATCTATATAACCAACAAAACTCTGTATAACCATAAGTACAGAACTGACCTTATGTTCTTCCTCAAATTCCATGTCTCTAGTACATTCCCCAATAATTCTAATTAGCAACCAGTGAATTAACAGCTAAAGTTTTTTATCAGCTTGTATATTTAATCATTTCTTACGGAGAAATTCTAGGTATTAAGTTACCATATTGTTGTTGTTTAGTCGCTAAGTCATATTTGACTCTTTTGTGGCCCCATGAACTATATATAGCCTGCCAGGCTCCTCTGTCCATAGGATTTCCCAGGCAAGAATACTGAATGGGTTGCCATTTGCTTCTTCAGGGGATCTTCCCAACCCAGGAATCAAACCCACATATCCTGCATTGGTAGGATTCTTTAGCACTGAACCACCAAGGAAGCCTAAGTCACATTATATTATACATTTTTAAACCTCATGTTCTACATGAGATAGCTGGTAGGTTTCATCATAGCAATGACAAACAGAGGCATTCTTCTTTCATGAGGAATCAGTGTATATCTCAATTGTCCTACTAACAGCTAAATCTTTGCTTTCATTTCTTTGACAACCTCTCTAGTTACCCATAAAGAAACAATATTGTTCTTGTTTAAGGAAGAAAAGAACCACTGAGGATAGAAGGAAAATAATTTATATACCTTATATATTCTAGTTCTTAGCCCACTAATATCTATGTTTCCTTGACATGTATTCTTGTATTTTCTGCTAGTTATTTATAATCTGCCTATTTCAGTCTCTTTTACCTGGCTGCTTTCCTAGTGATCTTCAATAGAGGCTGAAAAACAGAAAGAATCTAAATGCCTTGCTCTTTTCTTTTCAATTAAGATTTGGATGGGGAAATCAGAAGCAGGAAGGTGCCTTTAGTTAAGTGCTGAGATAATTCAATCACTGCAAAAGAAAGGCTGAGATGATAATTTTTAAAGATCTGAAAATTAACAAATAAGAGCAAAATCTTGATTAGCAACAATAATCCAGGATAGATTGCTCTGTTTCATTAAAAAAAATTCAACCAGAATACTATTTACATTTTAAGACTTTGGGTGAAAATTATGTTAAAATATTTCATTCAACTAAGCACACTGTCCTTGCCTTTATGTAGATTTTGATCCCATGGGTACCACTCCTGCTGTTCATTAAAACACTCCAAGATACAATAATAAAAAGTTCCAGAATGTCTCTTAAACAACGTTTGAAGTTTTTGTGTGCACAAAGTCACATGTAAACTGGCTCTGGGTGTCATCTGCTACAATCATCATTCCAAACAGTTGTGAGCTGAGAATTCTGTCTCCATGTCCTCCATCCTTCTTGGATACTTTTCAGTCAGTGTCAGATCAGAGGAAATGCTGCTAGGTATCAGATATACCCCATGAAGCTGAGACTTCATAACATAATAGAAGCAATGGTTCAGGAACTGAGAACTGCAGAAGTGTGAGAGGGTCCCTTTAAGGGTGAATGGGGGGAAAAAAATACACACAAAAAAACCCAGCATATACAGGAAAGTAAAATAATTTTTTTTAAGATTTTTTTTTGAAGGGGACCATTATAAAAGCCTTTGTATCTTTATTAAATTTGTTACAATATTGCTTCTGTTTTATGTTTTGGTTTTTTGGCCCCAGGGCATGTAGGATCTTAGCTTCCCAATCAGGGATTGAACCTGAGTCCCTGCATTGAAAAGTGGAAGTCTTAATCACTGGACCATCAGGGAAGCCCCAAAATACCTGTTTCTAATTTTTTTTAAATGAGTAAAGAAACGCTGTATGACTTGAACTGTGTTGCTCTAGTGAATGCAAGGGCAAGTCTATTTGAAAGAAAATAGTGCTGAATTTCAGTTAATTAAACTGTGTGGGGGGCAGGGGGCCCTAGTCGCTCAGTTGTGTCTGACTTGACTCCTTGAAGCTCTTTGGATTTTAGCCCACTAGGGATTTTTTCAGGCAAGAATACTGGAGCGGGTTGCCTTTTCCTCCTCCAGGGGATCTTCCTGACCCAGCGATCGAACCCATGTCTCTGTCTCCTGCACTGCAGGCAGATATTTGCCCTCTGAGCCATCAGGGAAGCACCAGTTAAAATGTGGAAGTGTGAGTGGCTCAGTCGTGTCCGACTCTTTGCGACCCCATGGACAGTAGCCTGCCAGGCTCCTCTGTCCATGGAACTCTCCAGGCAAGAATACTCGTCCACTCCACCATGCCATTCCTTTCTCCAGGGGATCTTCCTGGCCCAGGGGTCAAACCCAGGTCTTCCACATTGCAGGCAAGTTCTTTACAATCCAAGTCACCAAGGAAGCCCCTAGTTAAAATGTAAATATATTGTATTATTGTCATTATTATTTCTAATTCTGTCAGGCTTCTCAAGAGCAACAATCCCTAGATATGGGTGATATGTGATATGACCCTATTCCCTTTCTGCATGTATTTCAGAGTGAGCAACCAACGTCTGTTTACCTATTGTTTCTTCTTGCTATTCTAGACTAGCAAATAGCTACAGAAGTCTTTGTAAATATCCTTTCCCTGTAGAAGGAAACATATTTCTACTAACATGTCTTATCATGTAGAATTTAGAACACTGCTATATCTGACTTTTCAGAGATACGTCTGTTTTTAAAAGCCTAGTGGGCTCCAAAATCCATGTACAGACCAGAGACAATTCCCACTGAAGCTGAGGTGAGTTCCTTCTATGTATACATAGAACTGGATATGTTACCCATTCATAACTCCAGACAACATATAGGGTTAAATTCTATTCATCTTCTCTCCTTCCTTGGACTTTTTTTTCTACTTTCATTCCCCCATATATTAATGGATTTTCTTGGTGGCTCCGACAGTAAAGAATCTGCCCTCAGTGCAGGACACTGAGTTTGATCCCTGGGTCAGGAAGATCCCTTGGAGAAGGGAATGGCACTCTGCTCCAGTATTCTTGCCTGGAGAATTCCATGGACAAAGGAGCCTGGCAGGCTACAGTCCATGGGATCACAAAGAGCCAGACACAACTGAGCAACTAAGACACGTACATATCAAAACACAAGACACGAGGGACTTTAGAAAGGGTATGAAGCCAAGAGGTATCAGTTAAGGGCAAAAACTACTGAAAATAGGTCAGTCATTGACATAACTATCCAAAGTCATGGGCTATGTGTTAACTCAGTGGAAACAAGTCTTTTTTCCATCTCAGTGCATTAGAGAGCTATGACAGGCTCCCTGTCATAAGTAACCATCTTTCATCACTACCATGATTCCCCAGAGGGCAGCCACGTACCCCTGAAAGAAGATATGCAGACTTTCACCAGTGGAGTTGGGCATATACTGAAAGTCTAGCGCCTGTTCAGTAACCACTACCTCCTGTGATCACTTCATATCCACGTACTACTGAAAGCCTTTATGCTTTTCCCGGGTTGTGCATGGTCTTTTCTCATAGTCCCATCTTCTCAAGAAACAGACAGAGAAATGTTTTTCAAGTTCAAAATTCCAAGTTCCAATCACATACTCACTATTCTCTAGACTCGTGACCTTTTTCCAGTCTCTTATCTCATTCAAAATTCCATTTTCATATTCATAATGGGAGATAATAAAAAATCTGCCTACTTCATAAGGTTCTTGTGAGAATCAAATGATTATACACAAAAACTGTAGAGTAGTATATATACTGCAAAAACAATAAATTGTGATTCTGCTAAAGTATTCCAATTCAAACTCAAGAAATAAAGAGTACCAATTTTAAGATCAGGTGTGATTTAGAAGCATAAAGATCTACAGGAAACAATGAAACAGATTTATTCAGATGTGGAAATTCATCATGGGTCTGACATTTTGGTCAAATCTAATATCCATGGTTACCTGTCTCAGATAGCAGTTTTGTAGCTTCCAGCACCTTCTCAGTATAAACACCAGCTTCATAGTTCTCCATCTCAGCATTGATGATGTGTATAACTCGAGCAGCCCGGCCCCTGATGGCCCCTGCGGTCCGGTCCAGAGTATCCACATCCCCTTCTTGAAGGGCGATCACACATTTGTTCACATCCTCCAAGATATGGTTTTCTGTGGAAAGGACATATCCACATTTATATGATTTTATATCACTGGTGGTGGTGGTTCAGTCATTAAGTTGTGTCTGACTCTTACGACTCCATGGACTTTAGCCTGCCAGGCTCCACTGTCCATGGGGTTTCCCAGGCAAGAATACTGGAGTGAGCTGCCATTTCTCTTTCCAGGGAAATATTCCTAACCCAGAAATCGAGCCCTGCTCTCCTGCATTGCAAGAGTATTCTGTACCGACTAAGGTATTAGGGAAGCCCTTCATGTCACTGACATACTTAAAAACCAATCGGAAGGCTTCCCTTGTGTCTCAGTGGTAAAGAATCTGCCTGCCAATGCAGGAGACACAGGTTTGACTCCTGATCCGGGAAGATCCTACATGCCGTGGGGCAGGTAAGCCTGTGTGCCACAACTACTGAAGCCTGTGCACCCTAGAGTCTGTGCTCTACAACAAGAGAAGACACTATAATGAGTTCGTGCACCACAGCTAGAGAGTAGCCCTCCCTCACCACAACTAGAGAAATGCTCAAGGAGCAGTCAAGACCCAGCTTGGCCAAAAATAAATACATAATAAACATTCCAAAGAAAAGAAGAAATACTGAATAAATATGTCCTTTGAAAGGGGACAATTATATATTTTTACTCTAAGGTATTTTCAAGAGAAAGAATTCATTAAGTAAGGAGATAGAGGGATGATGTTCCAACTGGAAAATAACATAGAAAGGAGAGTAATAATAGAAAGCATGTGCATTTCAGAGAGGGTTACACTGTGGGGGTGAACCCCTCAGGTACTTTGGATGTTACGCCTGAATGTGAAGCACAGTTTTTAAAATCATAAAAGATTTGCCAGCAACATAAGTTTGTGATAAACTTCCTTAAATTTTTGCAGCCTTATTCTTTCAGAAAAGATGTAATCATGTTAAATCACTGATGACCAAATGACTGCATTATTATTAGCTCTAAAACTACAGTTTCCAAAATCATAAGCAAAGTTCAGTCTGTGAATGTTTTAAGGGAACAAACTCAAGACCCTGGAGTTAAGAAAAAGTAAATGAAAGAGGAAGAGGTAAACAAAACAAAACTTACAGACATTATGGGATTGAGTTAATAGCTTTTTTAGATCTTAGATGCCTGTTATTTTGTGAGCCAAACCCAAGAATTAAACTGTCACATGGTTAAAGCCAAGACGCTCATTTTAAGACACTATTAAAAATGGTAGTTTTTGCCCAGTGGGAAAAGTTTAAGTGCTCTAACACAGCCGTTTCACTTTTTTATGAGCCCAGACCACATCAGAAAATTGGTTTCGCTCCTATAATGTTAATAGCTAGCATCATTGCTCCCCAAACTTGCTGCTTTTCATATGGACAAATTAAGCACTCAGACATACAAGTTCAGGTAGCATGAAAAAAAAGAAAGAAAAACAAAACTATCCCTTAAAAAAAAACTTTTTTATTGTTGCCTCCAAAATAGAGTTTCCTGCCAGAATAGATATTCCCTTAAGAAGACACTGATACATAAAATGCCATTAATGCCATTCCAAAATATCTCCTGGGCCAAACCTGCAATTTACTGATGCAAATGTTTTGGCTCCAGCTTACAGAGGAGATGAGAAGTAGTTTCCCCAACTATTGGGCTGTATCCACAGTCTACCAGCAGGACAGAGTGGGCTGTGTCATTATTTGTCAAGCCCATCTGTGGAAAGCTGCCTGCTGCCTCCGATTGTCAAGTCCAAAGGCACGCTCCAGCGGGTCCTGCCAAGGCCGGCTTCCTGACAGCGCCTGTTCATTTTCCTGTCATGGCATGCCACGGCACTTGTACCACTGCGGTTGGACTCTACAGCGTTATCAGCGGAAGCCAAAGCCTTTTCGTGTTGCTGGTAATAATGAGATGCACAAAGGAACAGCAGGGAGAAAGGTGGCAGAGAGGCAGGCCCGGTGGAAGAAAATTAAGAGAAGCTTTGCGTTATTGAAACAGCCTGAGATAAGACTCCTTGCCTGGCTTTTTTCTACCCTCAGAAATTTCTGTACGTGCATTTAAAGAAAAGGGTACGTTGAGAAAGTTTTAAGTTCTGAAATGACTCCTCTTTGAGAAAGGTAGTATATAAATATTTTCTATTCATTTGTAAATAGGGAGGGGAGCAGAGTAAGATTTCCAGGGGCTGTTAGGATTGCTGTGTGAGATCTGAGGCTGATTGGAGTCCCCCTCTCCCTTTCTGGGGACCCTTATATCCATCCTGGCAAAGATTGACTAGAAACAAGAAATATCTCAGTCTTGGTGTCCAGTCTTCTGTTCTCCACCATTCGGATCCCCAACATGCCTAGTTGAACAATTTCTAAGCATCTTCTGAGAGATGCACTTCTTGGATATCTTTTGCATTTTTAGAACTCATGTATCAGGAAAGCAAAAAAATTCCATGAATGGCAACGCATTGAATTCTTTATCAGCCAACCCCTGGACACAGGTATGTTTAAATGAATAGCTGCTTTGACAAGTCATCAAAAGTAAAGCACCTTGGGAATGAAAAGTTAGTCAGGTTTCTAAAAGGGAAGAGAGAGTGGACCTACCGTACTACAGGGCAGGAGAGAGGAGGGGATTGGAGATGGGGAAGGGAGCTGCAGTGAAAGCTGGTAAAACACCCTTCTATCCAGACTTGCTGAGAACTATATAGATTCTGGAAAGAGGATAATCTGGATTATAATTCCACCTCTGCCAAGTCACCTACACACTAGTGACTTACTTTTCTCAAAGGAAGATTCAGAATAGTGATAACTGACATAAAATTTTGGTGAGAATGAAAGCAAATAGCAGAAAATCAGACAAATAACAGATACTGTCAACTACGAATTGGCACTTGCCATGGGTGCTTGTCATTTACTCTACAAGGATTCAATCATGTGCTGCTGCAGCTGCTGACCTTCAACACCACTGAAGGAGTGCAGGGAGGAGAGCAGAAATGAGGCACTCTCTTCTCATGGAAAAACTAGTAGTGCAGGTCCTCAGATAGTCAGATAGTCTCTGGAGCTGATTTTATGAGCCCAATTCTTGTATCTCTTCGTATCTGCTGCTGCTGCTAAGTTGTGTCAGTCGTGTCCGACTCTGTGCAACCCCAGAGACGGCAGCCCACCAGGCTCCCCCGTCCCTGGGATTCTCCAGGCAAGAACACTGGAGTGGGTTGCCATTTCCTTCTCCAATGCATGAACGTGAAAAATGAAAGTGAAGCCTCATATCTAGAAAAGCACTAAATTCCTTCATGGTGACAATTGTTTCTCGTGACTAGCAGAAGCTTCATGAGACCAGCAGACACTTTTAAATATGAGCTTAATTGCATGTACTCTCCCTTTACCAAAGTCACACATATACTATCCTTTGCCCCTACCTATTTGGAGCAGTTTCCCTAGAGCTATCTGAGGTGCTGTCTCCTGGGCTGCAGCCCTCATTGCCCAAATAAAACTTAATCTGCCACTCTCATGTTGTGCATTTTTTAAAAATTGACAGCACCAAGCGCGTGTTGGCTCATTTTTCCCATCTCCCTCGACTTTCCCTCCATGATTTTAACGTTGGCTTTTCCATCATCCCTCAGATCTACAGGTTCAACTGTACTACTCTTAGACAAGCTTTAAATACAAGCCCAGTGGGAATTCATTGTCAGTTTCTTGGTGAATGGAAAGACTACAGCTAGAGAAAAGTTTCCAAATACACTGAGCCTGCCCCAGAAATCCCTTCCCCTTGTTGCAGTCAGGCTCCATCAGCCTGGATCCCGTGAGTTGTGCTGCAACCCCTCCCTCTCAGACCTCAGTAAGCTCTGGTCAAGGCCAGGGCACATGAGTTGGCAGGTATGATTTCCATACACCTCTGGGGAGAGTCAACACCTGGTTAATTTGAATTTTTAAGAGGCATTTGGTTATTTTAATGCCTCGCAAGGGAGTTGAGACTTCTGGTGACCTCCATCCTCATGCTCCCACAGAGACTTCTCTATGTGAATTGGGCCAAATCTGTTTGAAAAAAGGCCCATGAGCCGGCTGGTAGCCCACTTTTGAAACAGCATTGGTGAGCCTTGTTAAAGGTAAAATTGACTACATGGTTATTCAAATGTGCTAACATCCCTTGTGTTAGTTGCTCAGTCATGTTTGACTCTTTGTGATCCCATCGACTGTAGCCTGCCTATGGGATTTTCCAGATAAGAATACTGGAGTGGATTGCCATCCTTCAGTCTGGCTTCATCTACAAAGCATTAAGTTACAATTTCCAGTGATGATGAGTTCTGTTTATTTTTACTTCCTTCCACAACCTCATGGTCAAGTGCTCAAAACCTCAATAGTTCCTAAGTGATTTCTAATGGGTTCATTTGGCGGTTAAAATTTTTTTCCCAGCTTATCAAAAACCTATGTAACTTCATTCACTCGGGCAGGGCCAGGGGGGTGGGGGTACTTAACACAGGCAAATTGGGATAACTAATTGATGTTTTTGATTTTTCAACATAACCAATCTCATATCCCACACTCTTTTAGATGGGTGATTTAGATGCAGCAAAGGCCATCCTATTTTAAAAACTCCAGGAACTAGAAAGGAGCCTAGATCTACTTAAACAATCTTTCAGGTTTTTAACAACTATAATCAGGAAGTTGTGTTTTCCCCCCAAATCTTTTGACTCACTGTCTTGAAATAATGTGCACAGCAGAGACAAATTTTCAAGAGAGTGTTACAATCACAATTGCAGAGATGATTGAAAGCTCAAAGGGTCGAGGAGAGCACTTGAAACACAGACCCATGACACTTGCAAGATATTCCTCATCTCATCTTGTTCTCTTGCTTCAACTACCTTGTAAGGGCCCGTTTGTGATTACCTGAGACGGAAAGGAAGTCATCCACTGAGGTGATGTCATCCACAGCCTCTGTCAGCACTCGAACTTGCTTTTCCCATTGGTCTTTGAAGACATCCATGTTGTCCTGAGCAACTTTGCTCTGTGGCCGGGCAGCCAATGTGAGAGCGGCGTTGATGACCTATTTGTTAGAAAAAATCCATGGGCATATGGATTACACTCATCAAAAGAGGAACAAGCAAGTCAAAGACCATGTTGAAACCCTGGACCTTGCAGCTTCAGCAGAAAAGGGGATTCTCGGTGTTTGGGAGGACAATCAAAACATGAAAGATGGAGTAGGTTATAAAATACTAGTCTTTTGTTTGCTCTTCTTTTTTTAAGATATAGGTTTCCAAAAGTGTATATTGAACCAAGTCTTTTTAGCACAGATGGGGCAGAAATATAACTCTTGTTCTCCACATACGAGCATATAATTTTGTGAGGGAGACAAAGTGAATAGATATGGAGTGTTGAAATAACAATTCAAGACAAGTAGAAAAAGTCAATAGGGGTGGAAAAGACAATAATCACTACAGTAATTTTGGAGAGACTGGAGCAATTAGCAGTTCTTTTTGAGAAAGGCAGAACCGGAAATGTCCATGAATGAATGAGTAGCACTTTCCAGGAAGAGGAAAGAGGACAAGGCAAGGAATGAGTGACATGAAGGCTGGAGTACACAAGATCCAAAATATTGTCTTTGAAAACAAAGAGAATGAGGCTTACCTGAGGACACAGGCTGTCAATCTGAGTGGCTGCCATCCGAACTAATTTCACCCCTTCCTCATTGTTGGAGATGGAACAGGCCAAATTGGCAACCTGTATTGAAGAGGATTAGAGTGAAAATGATGTTAGGGCCAAGGGAAAATAGGCTGCTGTGTAACTTTGCACCATCCCTGGAGAGTGCCACATCCAGGAGAATCCTTTCACAAAGAAGATAAAGGGACCCTTTTTGTGATCAACTAAATATTACTCAGCCTTATGCCAGTAGGCATTTCTGCCAGAAGAGCAAAGTGTTAATAATAAGTCATTGCTTCAAGATTCTTGAGTGCACACAATAATGCATTTTAACTGGGCTCTTCTTAACTCTCTTCCCCTCCATCTAGACTCTCACTTGAACCTTCTAAGGCTCATTATTGGGCGCAGGTCACTGTGATTTTGGCCACGTCAGTACTACATTCTGAACAGTGAGAGAGATGCCACAGGAAATACTTTTGATTTGAGACTCAAAGTAAACTAATCCCAAAGAATCCAAGATCTGCCTGGTACAGTCTGTAGGGAAAATGTCAGTCCACCAGGAGTCAACTCAGATGCTTTCAGGGGTGAGGGAAGTCTGAGAAGTGTGTAAAAGGTCTAGTATAGTCCAAAAGGCAGTGGAGGAATTAGAATATGTTAGTCTAGTATAAAGGCATTCAAATTTGGTATTTTAAACATATTGTATCAACTAAAACAGCTGAAATGGATTCAAATTCAGGTCATCAAGCATTTCAATCTGTGTCATTCCTTTTCTTCAAGGAGTTAGAATTGGTAATACAAGGTCAGATTGACTGAACAAGGTCAGTAACACATGAAGCTATGATCAAAACACTGAATGTCTCATGAAGCTAATGTCAAGGGAACAGGAAGGAGGGGATTAGAAGGGGCAAGGGAGAAGGGAAGGGCTGCCAGGGCTGGGAGCAGGAGGGCCAGCAGAGCAAGTGATTAGCAGAGAGATTCCTTGGGAGCCTCCTGGCCACCTGCCTTTGTATCTGCTCACTCCTGCCTTTCAAAACCAGATCACTTCCCTCAGTTCAGTTCAGTTAATTCACTCAGTCATGTCCGACTTTTTGTGACCCCATGAACAGCAGCACGCCAGGCCCTCCTGTCCATGACCAACTCCTGTAGTCCACCCAAACTCATGTCCATCAAATCGGTGATGCCATCCAACTATCTTGTCCTCTGTTGTCCCCTTCTCCTCTGCCCTCAATCTTTCCCAGCATCAGGGTCTTTTCAAATGAGTCAGCTCTTCGCATCAGGTGGCCAAAGTATTGGAGTTTCAGCTTCAGCATCAGTCCTTCCAATGAACACCCAGGACTGATCTCCTTTAGGATGGACTGGTTGGATTTCCTTGCAGTCCAAGGGACTCTCAAGAGTCTTCAACACCACAGTTCAAAAGCATCAATTCTTTGGTGCTCTGTTTTCTTTATAGTTTAGCTCTCACATCCATACATGACCACTGGAAAAACCATAGCCTTGACTAGATGGATCTTTGCTGGCAAAGTAATGTCTCTGCTTTTTAATATGCTGTCTAGGTTGGTCATAACTTTCCTTCAAAGGAGGAAGCGTCTTTTAATTTCATGGCTGCAATCACCATCTGCAGCATTTTGGAGCCCAGAAAAATTAAGTCAGCCACCGTTTCCCCATTTATTTGCCATGAAGTGATGGGACCAGATGCCATGATCTTAGTTTTCTGAACGTTGAGCTTTAAGCCAACTTTTTCTCTCTCCTCTTTCACTTTCATCAAGAGGTTCTTTAGTTCTTCTTCACTTTCTGCCATAAGGGTGGTGTCATCTGCATATCTGAGGTTATTGACATTTCTCCCGGCAATCTTGATTCCAGCTTGTGCTTCTTCCAGCCCAGCGTTTCTCATGATGTACTCTTATATAAGTTAAATAATCAGGGTGACAATAGACAGCCTTGACATACTCCTTTTCCTATTTGGAACCAGCCGTTGTTCCATGTCCAGTTCTAACTGTTGCTTCCTGACCTGCATACAGGTCTCTCAAGAGGCAGGTCAGGTGGTCTGGTAGTCCCATCTCTTTCAGAATTTTCCACAGTTTATTGTGATCCACACAGTCAAAGGCTTTGGCATAGTCAATAAAGCAGAAATAGATGTTTTTCTGGGACTCTCTTGCTTTTTTGATCACTTCCCTATTACATCCTTAATGCCCTAGGGGTTTTGAATGCACTGTGCAAGCATATAGTATCTAATGTGAAAGAACCATTACTGTGGAGCAGAGGAGGAGAACACAACTGAGATCAGTAGGCTCAAACTACTGATATTAACAGATCTAAGACCTTAACAGTTCTGTTAAGTCACGTCACATTCGGAGGACCATTTCCTTATCAGCAAAAGGGGATGGAAAAAACAGTGATACTAGGGATATATTTCAAGTTTACTGCAGTGAGAATATATGCTATGAGAAACCACAGATTAAGTTCCAGAAGTTATCACATCATTTCTTACATTTTACAGTTTACCTTTGATTCTTCAGATAATGTTCATTATGTTACTTGGTTTTCAAAGAGAAAGACAAATATGCCTTATTATACCCATTTACAGGATACTAAACCCCCAGGGTATGAAGAGGTTCCTTGGAGGCAGAGCAAGAATTAATAATGCAGCTTCTTAATTTCTTTTTGTTATATCGTCTCCACTCTGCTTTTTTATTAATCTTTGTTATATTTATATTCTACTGTATTTTTATATTCCAAATGCCAGAATAACTGCATGGCATAGAATTGGTGCTCAATACATGTTTAGTGAATTAAAGAATAGCCTTTTAATAGCTTTAAAAAAACTGTGTATAGTGATTTGGAATACATAATAAGTTGAAGATACTATTAAAGTTGTTAGTCCTTTAATTTGGCTGGACAAATTTTCACATTAGCTTCTAGCACATGCTTTCCAACACCATGGAGCTAAACAAAAGCTCCCATATTCTGGTCCATTGTTTGAGACCAGAATGAAGTGACCCTGTCCATGATGACATGAGAAATCAGGATGTTGTGATGAATTTTCCAGAAAGATATATGCATATAATTTAAAATTCTTTTAAATGCTTTGCATTTCCTCTGTTGAAAATCCTTTCATTTTATGAAATGATGATTTTGGATGATGCTTTTGTTTGCTCTTTATCATCCTTGTTTGGTATGTAATAGAGACCTGAGATTACACTTTTGCATTGCAGTGAATAATTGCTAGAATTTGACATATAACTCTATATAAGGACAACAACATGAAAACTTTAAAATGCTCCTAGAAATCAGGTCTCGGGTAATATTTGTTTACATCTTTGTAAGATGAAAAGTAAGAAAATACCAGCACTCTCAATGAGATAAAGGTGGTAAACCAAGTATTCAATGGCTATTGACTTAAAAATATTAATAAATAGGACAAAGAACCATATATTATGTATCTTTTGATGGAATGACATAACACTACCTATGAAACAGTGTTGCCAAAAGCAACAACAAAAAACAAAACATAAAAATGATCAATCTTAGGATAAATTCTCAATTCACAGAAATCCAAGGGACAAACATGTAAAATAAAACCACATGGACGCACTTGTGAAAATCCTAATAGTAATAACTAGTGGAAAAATGTCAGACTTTTGTGGATCCTGAATAGGACAAATAAACTATAATCATAAATATGTAAGTAAGTAAGTAAGTAAGTAAAGTCGCTCAGTTGTGTCCAACTCTTTGCAACCGCATGGACTGTAGCCTACCAGGCTCCTCTGTCCATGGGATTTTCCAGGCAAGAGTACTGCAGTGGGTTGTCATTTCCTTCCCCAGGGGATCTTCCCGACCCAGAGATCAAACCCAGGTCTCCCGCATTGCAGGCATACGCTTTACCATCTGAGCTACCAGGGAAGCCCCTGTAGGTGAATTTATATATACGTACATTATAAAACAAAGAAATGTAAATATTGACTAAATATTGGATGATATTACAGAGTTAATGTTTTAAAACACCCTGGCAATACTTGTTATTTTACTTAAAATGTCCATAGCTTATATATATATATGTATATATATATCAAGATGCCTTTGGATGAAGTGATAGATTTGAGATTTGTTTCAGTTTTTTAGAGTAAAGGAAAGGTGTGGAGGTATAGAAAAAATAAGACTGGCTATTAGTTCAGAATGGTTGAAGTTGGGTGATGGTATATGATGGTTTATTATATATGCTCTACTGTTGGATATGCTTGAAATTTTCCATAACACAAAGTTTTTTTTTTTTAAAGTAGTAACTGCAATCTATTATAACACCAGTTCTGGTAAATTTTTTTTGTTTGTTTTTTTTGCACTTATGCAAGGTTCAAGGGAGCCCAGTAAAAGCCAAGGAGAAGCCTGAGTGTGGTTTGGAGGTAAGGCTTGCAGACAACAGGAGTCCCAGCCTGGAGAAGGGACTATGGTAATGCACGTATAAGCCACAGAGGTGGCTCTCCAGAGCACGCAGTCTCCTGCATGTGCTGGTGGCAGGTCTCCAGGCAAAAGCTGATCCTGGTAACAGACTGGGCTCCTCACATCTCCTGTGTGAGGGAAATGCCAATCAGTAACATATGTATATATGCTTCTCTTTGTGTATCTTTTGAAATGAGTTTTTTATCCTTTGTTTTAATAAACTCTATTATGGCTCAAATCTAATGTGAGAACCTCACTGCACAAAAGAATCTTAGTAAGGGGAATAGTGCTAGCAACATTTAGCAAAAATAAAGAGCTGGCAACTACCAATAATGCTTTAATTATTTATTCTTTTTAGTTTATTAATCTGTAAATCCTAAAGTCTGCCAGCCTCTGCTCTGCAATATACACCTGCTGCTTTTTTTTCAGTCGCTCATTCGTGCCTGACCCTTTGCAACCCCATGGACTACACCACACCAAGCTCCCCTGTCCTTTACTGTCTCCCAGAGTTTGCTCAAATTCATGTCCACTGAGTCAGTGATGCCATCCAACCATCTCATCCTCTGTCACCCTCTTCTCCTTCAGCCCTCAATCCTTCCTAGCATCAGGGTCTTTTCCAGTGACTCGGCTCTTCGTATCAGGTAGCC